CTGACAATGACATCACCGTTGAACATTTTTTATTTTGTTGGCGGCAACTTCCTTCAGCCCCCAATGAGTTCACGGTTCTGTAATAAACTAATAAACCACATAGCAACAAATATGCATTAACCAAAATATATGTTCATCATCTTACATAGCTTTGTTAGCTAAGGATGCTCTGAATGTAAAAAGACAATCATAGATCTTAGTGGTTATGATATGCATATTTGACTACTGTTTTGTTCTTGTTCAGATGTTACTTTGACAAGTGGAAAATGAAGATAAGGATAGAATATATCCCAAACAAGAGAAGCCGTCTAAGTTTGACAATGACCACAAAGGTTTGCAGCCAGAACTGTTCCACGAGCACATCATTTATATTATGCTCATTCATCATTACCATACACCACACAAAATGTGAAAGACCCTTTCTACACCATTTTCTTTACAGATGATAGATATGCCACACAGGCCAAGCTCCTCAGCACAAGATTCCAAAAAGATGTTAACTCTACCGAACTAAGTTCCTCCATTTGTCCTTCAAATCCACCTACCAAGTTACAACCTTTATATCACTCACAGTTCGCATATAACTTATTCATGTAAATGGTGAGTCTGAAAGTTTAAAAAAAAAAAGGACATGCTCACCTCTGTCCTCTCCGCGAATACTGCAGGGTTTGCATTCTTTATATCTTTCCATGATTTGCCATACCTGCGAAACAACACAACAAATGACAATGCTATAAACGTATACAGTGAGCGAAGTTCAGCGTTTTGAAATTTAATGTCATCCTAGATGTATGAGCATTGAATATTGATAATAGAGTAGGGACTTGGCAAAGAGTGTTGCATACTCTTTTACTCCTTCCCTCAGAGCTTCCACTTCTTCAGGCGTCCAGAATTTCTTTGGCCTTCTGACATTGGAATTTTCCTTCTTCAATGGAGATACATTTAGAGGTACAGGGGTTGGTAGACGAGGCCGAACTCTGCCAGACCATGTTCCCTGACTATTCGAACCTTTCTCAATCTCATTTGCATTATCCTGTTGCATCACAATTAAATCACAACAAAGAACAAGAGTTTTGTAAAGCATTTTGAATGAAGATTTACTAACACTCACCGGTGTTTCATTACGGTCTTGACCGCCTGTTCTAGTCCTATTACTCATAGCAGGCTGAGGAGTGACATCTACGGAGTGGTCGATTCCATTGTTAGGTTCCTGCTCCTCTTGCCTAGTGGGAGGCTCGATATGTCCTTGAATCTCCAACAACAACTCCTTCAGCTCTCGAGCAGCCGTTTTGTCCCCCTTATCAAGACTTGGCTCAGGTCCACCAATTGTCTCCTCCTCGTCTGCTGCATCAACCTTATCAAACCCATCACTCTCCAAACATCCCACTCCTTCAACATCATTAGCATTCTCTCTATTGTTCTCATTCCCTTCCTCCTCCTCACTGGTTCCACGCTCCTTAATGTTGTCACTCTCCAAACATCCCACTCCTTCAACGTCACTAGCATTCCCTCTATTGTTCTCATTCCCTTCCTCCTCCTGACTGGTTCCACCCTCCTTAATGTTGTCACTCTTTAAACGCCTCATGCTTTCATCAACAGGATTTGGATCTCCTCTGTTGTCTACATTCTGAGCATTGCGCTTAAGGAAGGTCCTTTGGGCTACTAATTCAAGAGCGGAACTCCCAAGTAGTTCCCACTGCTCTTTGAGAAGCTGATTGAGAAAAGAAATAGCAGTGTACCTAACATTAGTCTCACGAATCCTCTGATAGAGCTCAGGATCTTCAAGGGACACCTCCAGATCAGCCTCCCACTTCAACAAGTCATAGGTCACCAAACCACTCCCACTCTCCTTCAAAATCCAAATTCGCTTAGTCCATATCCTCTTAAGAGCGTCGTTGAAGAAGCCATCAGAAGCAGACAATGGCCACATGAATCTAACCGTGCACTCTACAGCCGTCCAGCAATAAGCAGACTTGTGAGACTCCGTGAGTACCGAATGTTGCTGCAACATAAGTTTCTCAAGAATCTCGAGTAGATCAAGCGTTCCCTCGTCGAGTGTACCTTTGATCAATGAATTGGAGATATCCCGCAAAACGGAAGATATCTTGAGCTTTATGCAGTCAGGGGAATCTCCAAATTTCATCGCCGAAAGCAGGTTAGTAGGAGAAACCCTAGGATTTTGTTGTCGACGGATGAAAAATTCAGCAACCCATTTGTCGATAACTTCCATTTTGAAACTTTTCAGAACAAAGTTACAACCTTTTTGTTTTGTTTCCTTCGATGCAGTTTGGCCGGAGAAGACGAAAAGGTTTCGAACAGCGATCGGAAATCAGACAGGTTAATGGGCCTTTGGTTGGGCCTTAAAGTCAAAGAAGATTTTATTCGGTGTGAATGGTGAAAGATTGACAAGTGTCGTGAGCTGAGCCTTATCCACAGATTCCCCAATC